TATATAAAGGCTTCCTTGTTAAATAATGCGTATTATTATTTTTTAATTCTTTCAAAAAAAATTTTTTTTAAAAAAAGGGGTGGTAAATTATTCCCTGGAAAGCGGAAAAGTTAGATAAAACCGGGTGGAGGAATAAAACTGGCAGCCGATACTTATGTCAAGATTATTGTTCCCATATATTAGAAATCGCATTAGATAGTAGCCATGCTAAAAAGACCATTTACGTTATTATTTTGTCGACGAATTAAATTTATTGCAGAAATTTTGATTTTTAAACCAACGATAATTATCTGTCGTTTTTAATTTCTTTGAGATTTATTTTTGCTAAGTCCAATATTTGATAATATGCCGGGTTGTACGAAAGGCTTTAAAATAGGCAAAGACACAAGAAGTTTTGATGCTGTTACAGAGCGTCAACTGAAAGGATTGGCACAGAAAGTCTGTGATTCTCTGACTTTTATTTCCATTTTTATATCTGAGTAATTAAAACGTGTTAAAAGAACTTACTGAGTGTTAAAAGAGCTTACAGCTGAAAAGCAAAATATTTACTTCAACTTCGCCCAAAATTTAAACAAATACCGGTTTTGGAAGTCTACTTGTTCCTCCCCAGCCAGGGCGTGTCACGTAACAGTTCAGTTGAATCTGTTCATAGTTTATACGAGTAAGCCTGTACTATTTAATTCAAAGAGTTTTTATACTATTCGCTTGCACGAGTTTAGATGTTAACCGTGAGTTCAGGACCTGACCCAGCAAGCTTCTCTGTCGAAATCGAAAATGTATCGACTATTCCAATAGATTCTTTGACATATTGGGTGCTCTGCAATCACTACTTTTAATACACATTTTTTAGAATCCTTCGTAAATATGAAGTGAGAAAATACACAGATTGTAGGTTTTAAATTAATATTGGAGCAAGGAGAAGCAAAAACGCTTATTTAACAAATTATTTAACAAATTAATTAGAAGGTGATATTAAAAATAACAAAGCAGTTCCATTGCCGGATAAAATTTGAAAGTGTTTCTAATAGTCTTCTTTTTCCTCTAAATTTTCTACGGTCATCAAACATATTTTTTATGTTTTTAATCTCTCCTGCCTCATTAATGATCAGGATTCGATAACATTACTTAAGAGATTCAATTCGCGATCGCAATACTCGAATACGCCATCTGGGGAGAGACCGGTTTCATGCCTTCAGCCCTTCTCCCTTCCCTCTCCTCCTCTTTTCAGTTGTATAGGAATGTACTACGCTATTTTCCCTTTTCTTAATATTTTTCCTTCTTAGTTAACAAAAATATTTTTTAAAATAACCATGATACTTTTCTTTAGAACTATGCATAATGTAGTTTTCAGTTCCATATAGTTTCACAAGTTAAAAGATTTTAATCTATATGAAAATCAAGAGAGAAACTAACGTACTTCCTTCCTCTATGACTTTCCACACGCTAATGGGGAAAGCGTGTGAAGTGTTGCCATAGGAAAAAGAGTTCTGCTCTACGCCACCTGCAGCCCATTTCGATCGCCAATATTTATTAAGCTACCGCTATGTCTATATTTTATAGTTTCATTTCCGACAGATTCTGAAAGTATTGGTAAGACTGATCGATTGCTGCGTATATAACTAGTAAATGGCGTAATTAGCAGTTGCTTTCTGATATTTATTGACGAAATAAATAAATCACCAAACCAAAAAAATGAAATGAAAAATAATCTGTATAATTATGTTAAAGGACACAATTATACTGTAAAAAGAAACCGACATTCACATAATCTATTTGAAATTCAAAATTCTAGAGCAACTCTTATTAAGATATTTTAAACTTTTGCATTAATTTCTTTATTACACATTTTATGTGAAAATTTCCTTCTTTCTTCAGATCTTTAATTACGCTGAATTGAAACATTTATGAAATTCAAAATTCTAGAGCAACTCTTATTAAGATATTTTAAACTTTTACATTAATTTCTTTATTACACATTTTATGTGAAAATTTCCTTCTTTCTTCAGATCTTTAATTACGCTGAATTGAAACATTTATAAAATAGAGCCTGATTATTTTTGACTGCTAAACTNCCTTCGAGCCCTTCGAAAAACAGCAGTTTTAAAATTTAAAACATATTTGATTAGTTAGAGAAACGAAAGGTATAATAGCAGATGATAAAGCAAAGTAAGTGACTGAAAAACATTCACTTTTGTGTTTGGCGCGCATTAAGGGTTGTCTCAATTTCAAAAGCGGAGATATTTCTCTTTTTACTCCCGTGCTGAAATGAACTCTGCGTCCGAGGAGATGGAGCCAAGTGCCAACTCCTGGTGAACGAACTATACCTCGACTCCGAAGCATGCCGATGAATTTTTCTCTAATTTATTTATATTTTTGGGTTATTTTTGTATTCATTTTTTTTTGAGTAAAATCATCACATTTTTTAAAAATCTTCTTCGGATCAATCAATGAGTTTATTTGAATTTTCTTATTTTGATTCAAAACTTTATCACAAGAAAAAAATAAAAGTTCACGTGAGTATATAAATCATTTAAGGAATTTCTAGAAGCATTTAATTTATTCATGGAAATGAATTCCAAAAATGTCGTAAAAACTTGATAATTTGAAAATATATAATTTTAACTTAACTGACGCGAGCGCTAATCACAAGACTCATGTCTTAAGTATTTTGAAATATGCTAAGCTATCCAAAATTATAAAGGAAAAATAAAAACTTATACTAGTGGATCCCTTCTCACGTTGGGACTTTGATGAGTTCAAATTCACTCACCTTCATGGAACTGGCATCGAAGAAGAAAAAAGAAGACAATGTTTCCTGGCTCGTACCCCCAAACATCACTGGTACCAGAGCACCCGTCCTGGAGGTGCACTCAACATTCTTCCCAAACTGCCCCAGGTGCCACAACATGCAGGCTTCTCCCCAACATATCCTGTCTTGGACTGGACAAGAGGGACATTCTAGAAATCCCACTTTTGGTGGCCGACTTCCTCCGGGTCATGAATTTCATGGACATTGTTTAGCCCTGCTAATTTTGGGGATTAGGAAGAAGAGGAAGAGAACTTATACTTCGTTTTGGAAAAATGTTGCTAATTACAAAGGCTGACATTAGTGCAATACGCATTTTCATTTAACATTTCTTTAAATCGTAGCAAAATAGCATTTTGCGAACTGTAAAAGCAAGAATACCCATTAAATCAATATAATTTTTTTTTTAAAAAATAAAGTTATTATTATTTACTTAATTTTTTCCTTAAATTAAAACCAAAAATTAGAAAAATTATTAACTGCGATTTTAGAGAATCGGAAATATAAATAAAGGTAGAAACATTATTTGCTTACCTAATTTAAATATTTTTTAGCATATTTCCCCGCTGTTATGTTAGTTGAATAATTTCTCAAGGATGACTAAAGATGAAAAGAAAACATACTGATACATTTTATTTGACACTTTCTCTTTAAATAGTATGTCTGGCTATAATACTCACGAGGCATGCACACTGTGGACAGTTACCCTTCCCAACATAATCCCATAAATGTTTTCCTAAGAGAAATTTGCGTGAATTCCTAAGTTGCGAAACATAGTGCTCTTATTTTTTCAGGTTTTGTTAGACTCATTTATCTAGTTCAAGGTTTCGATGGAGCTCCCTTATCATAGTTTCTGAGCATTGCTTTGTAATCAGTAAACCCATTCAAAAAGAACGATCGTTATTTGGGATAAATTGTAAAATGATTTATTAAAGGAAAAATAATGGATACAGAAAGAAAAAAAATATCAGAATTGACCTGCATTGCACCAAGTCGTTCATCGAACCGTAATTCCTTGTCTCTTTTATCGTACTTTGAAGATTTTTTAGGGAAAAAAATAAATTGTTTCATTTTGGGGACAAGTTGAAAATGTCTTTGCTTGACTAATTAAATGAAATTAAAAAGTGGGGGAAGTGTTACTCTATTTCATTTCCAGTGAATATCACTGGAAATAGAAATAGAGTAACGCACCACACCTCGTCTGCTCACAGTTCTAGCACTGGAGAACATTCTGAATAGCTCATGATCGGATCATCACGTACTGAGACTCAATCTTAATGGTTCGAGGGACTACCTTAAAAATGCTAATCGAAATCAGAAGCAAGATGAAATCAGTTAGTGAAATCGTAGTTTTTCAGAATAAACAGGTTTTTTTTCTTCAATAAATTTGGATTCTTGGTCCTAAAAAAAGATGAGACGAAACGTACAATATGGTCCTAATGGTTCGGTCAGGAATACGATCAAAAATTTGGAGCTCTTAATGTTTTGTTTACTTTTTGCATTTGTCCCCATATTTCGAGAGCTTTTTAAGTGAATCAAAAAATTTTGCTAACAAAAATAAAGTAGCAAAAATTTTTTTTTAATAATTATTCATTATATTTAATTATTTTATTTAATAATTGGCGATATGAATGGACTACAAGTGGTACAGAGCAGAATTCTTTACCTATGGCAACGCTTCGCACGCTTTCACCATTGGTCGTGGAAATTTTTAAAAATATTTGTGACAGTTTAATACAAAAAGTATTAAGAAAGGGGAAAACATCGTAGTACATTCCTATACAACTGCGAAAAGGAGGAGATAGAAGGGGAATGGGTCAAGCCATGGAACCGGTCTTCTCCCCACATGGCGTATTCGAGCGTTGCGATGGCGAATAGTCGAAAATATTTTGAATAGTTCCGCTTGCTTTATTAGCGATCTCTGCGTCATCTGCGTAGGACATTTGAGCCTCTCTTATTCCTTCTCCTTCTTTAGATTTTCAAAGCCGTTTTTTAATGTTCTTTCGCGAACGCAGTTTTCAGTTTCATATCGTTTTTAAAGATTGGTTTGAAAATCAAGATAAAAAGCTAACGCTAAAAGTGAAAACATGTGAAGTGTTGCCACACGTAGAGAGTTCCATTATGCGCCATCTGTATCCAATTTCGATCAATACCAGAGATTATTTAAATATTTTTCGTTAATCAGAAACCTAGAAACAACTCAACTTCTGTGGAGCGCGAGTGTCAAATTGGAAAGTTGTTCTTGTTTTCTCATTTATTTAGAATTTACAGAGAGTTATTCTATTTAAATAAACATCATGTAAAGAAAGCATCATTTTAAAAATAACAAGAGGACTCTGTATTTTAATTCAGGGTAATTTTAGTTCATTAATTGTCCTTAGCTACGTTAGTTACTTATCATTTATCAAGACACTTTGATTGCTTTTACAAAAAATTGATTTTTAAAATTGTACATCTAATTTCTTTTTATTAAACTTTATTTTGTGGATAAAATCAGATTTTCATAAGTATTTCACTTGTTTATTACAGTATGCATGATCTAAAAAATGTTGTAAGTTTCGTAAAATTTTGAAATTTGTATTTTGGGAAGTTCCATTTATTCAAAAGTTAAAAATGTTTCATAAGTGCAGAAATTTTATTTCAAATTTAAATGAAATTTATTCTCTTACAAATAAGTTTAGAAAATTTTAAACTTTGATTATTCTTTCAATTAAAACAATTAAAAATCCTCAATTTTATAGTAATAAAAAACAGTTTAAAAAAATTGAAAGTTTTTGTTACTTAATTTTCCCTTTTTTACTACTTTTAGTGATAATACCTAATTATTTGCTTCAAAAGCTCCAGTTACAGTTAATTCATCGTTTAGTTATTTGTGTGTAAGTGAAGTTATAAAGCATTGGAAATGTTATTAAACTGAGGTATTCAAATTGTTTTGATTTCCATAGTTTAATAAAATGTTTTTGGTATTTTAAACCAATAGGGGATATTTTTTATTTGTTTATTACAATTAACTTGAGGACTGCCATTAATGTTAATTTAGATAAACTTTATTTTGCTGTTGGAGTATTTGTGTAAAAATGTCTGCATTAAACCATAAAAAAACATAATTTTTTTTTCCTTCAGTACAATGGGAAAAATATTTTCAAAGGAAGTAAGGTTTTCTTTTTGCTCGACAGACTACTCATAATCATACAACTCAGAATTAAGATATCAGGTACAGACAAATGATCAAGTTTTAGCAAAAAAGCTTTACTTCAACCAATTCAATACATTAATTTAAATTGAATGATTATTTTTTATTGTTGATTTTACAATTTATAATTATTTTAAGAGAGATTGATTGAATTTTTTATTGATTTTTCATTATATTAAAATTTATAGTAGTTATATTGCATTAGTTTAACACTCTTATAATAAATTCTATCTTAATACTTTTTTCGATTTCTTATATTGCAAAACTAAGTTAAAATTTAATTCAGTTTCTTATATTTGTAACAATAGGTATTGAATATAATTTTTTCCACAAAAATTATGATGGTAATGAAGAAAAAACAGGAAAAAAAACACACATTTTGAAACGTTATTTTGTTATAAATATATTTTTGAGTATGAAGGCAAGTGTGATTTTTTTTCTTTCTCTTTTTTTTAAATAAAAGATTTTTGTTTAGTTATTTCAAGTAAAAAATATTTCTTATCCTTTGGTTAAAGTACAAGGTAACATTATTTTGTCATTTAAATATTTTTTAAAAAGAGATCTGTGAAATTAAGTTTTTGATTTCTTTATTTTATCCAGTTTTTTAGTGGTTAATAATGATGCATTTCTATTCAATTATCAATTAATATGAATCATACATTAACATGTATTAATATAGTTTGAAATATATTGCTATGATTTGTTTTTAATAATTTTTCTTTCTACTTAAAATAAATTTAAATTTAATAAAAGATTATTTAATTCCTCATCTGCTTGTATAAACAAAAGTTGTATTGTTAAATTTGCTTCAGTTTGTGATTTTGACCCCCAACATTTTGAGATGCTGGGTGAAGTTAACTTAAGATTATTTTTTTAAAAAGTGAATTTTATGGCACTTGGGCAAAACATAATGATGCAGAGGGGAATTAAGTAAAGATATAAATGGCTCCCAGAAAAAAGCTGTTGGTGTAACTCAGCATTTAAAGTAAAAAGATATACAAATTTTTTATATTTGTTTGCTATAAAAAATAAACTAATAAAATTCTGAAAATTTTTTTTTTAAAAGAAAAATAATCCAAGTCATTGATATAATATGTGAGCCATTCTCATGGAAAATGAATTATAAATTTCTGAAAAATTCTGGTCAATAACAGCAGACCCTGGTATTTGGTCTTTAGAGTTGCACTCATGCTTGCTAAACCTGTCTGTTTTTTTTCTTCTTATTTTATTCTCTCTACATTAAATAAATCTTTTTAATTTTATACTAGATTTTCTAAATCTTAATTTTTCCGTCGCCAATAGCCCATTGTGCAGCTCTAGTGCGACGTAAATTAGCCACCACCAACCACCACTCTTAATTTTTTACTAGATTTTCTTAGTGTGAAAAGTAAATTTTAAAATTATCAAAGGAAAATATAAATAAAATTCCCATAAAATTATAAAATTCTATCATATTAAATATTTTATTAATTTTGTTTAAACATTACTTTGGAGAAATTAAAAAAAATAATAATAATAACTGAGAGAGCAAAGAAAGAAAAAAAAAAGGAAAACTCTCTTAACTGTGCACTAAGTATAAAGTAGTTTATTTAATGCATAATTTCATTTATAGATATTAAAAGCAAAAAAATGGAAAGACCAAGTAGAGGACGCTTTTCACGAAGAACCAGCATTAATGTTGCGGCAATGCTGAACCCAGAGAAGTCGGTTCCTAAATTTGTGAATTCTAAACTAATAGTAAGTTTCCAGTTATCTCTTAATGTGGTAATATTGCAGTAAAGTTTTTTTTAATCAATTAATAAAATTAATCTTTAATATATAATTTGACTGACTTTTGAGACTAAATTTCTGTAATTGTATGTTTCTTTTTGACTACAAAGGAAATTTTTGTCTGTGTAATTAATTTTTTATACAAATAAAATGACCAACTCAAAGATGCAAAACAAGTAATTTAGACGGAGGCAGAATGCTGAATATTTGATCGAAATTAGAGCCCAATATTTGGTTTAGGAATAAAAAACCAATTTTTGCCTGAAAACGAAATGAGAAATCAATATATGTTAATAAATAAGTATTAAAACTTAGAAAAAATATTTTTTGTGCCAACTTTAAAAGCATTAGCCTACATTCAAAAAGTATTTAGCTTAAAAATGACAAAGTGTACTTTTGAGTCACTTTTATTAATTTAATAATCAGTTCTAATTAATCAGTTCTTTTAAACATGCTTATGAATCTAGATGGCATGTCAAGTAAATCAATCATTAGATCTAAAGTTAATCAGGATGCTTAATTTTATCAGATGCTCGTCTAAATTTAAAATTTGCATCTAAAAGTCAGTCATGTATAAATTAAATTATATGCTATCTTATTATTATGTATACAGAATTGCATATAATTATGTACTATGATTATTTATTCTCTAGTCAAGAAATCCTTTTTTAGTACTTTTATTTTAGTTTTAGTAGATTTTTATTTTAAACAATTTATATTTTTCAGGTTTTCAGGCAACTTGATCACAGCATCATAAATGATGAACACAGAAGAATCTTTTCAATACTTTCTTCCCAATTTGATATGAGTGAAGGAGATATAGAAAATTATTCACTTAGTTCTACAAAAGTAAAATTATAAATATTATATTTACGTAGTTTATCTTTTTTACATATTATTATGCTATTTCTTACAATTTTTCTTATGATTTAGAAGGTTTATTCGACTAACTATACAGTAAGACCTTCATTATTATCTGGATCTTCTTCATCTAAATATTTATTTTAATAAATTCTGAATTTTTTTACCAACATTTTATGTTTCTTTTTCATTAATATGCTGTCTCAATCCAACTTCAAAGGAATATATATATACTTTTTATTACCATAATCAACATTTTCTTTTTCTCCAATGGAAAGTTTTATCTCCACAGTCATGGAAACTTCGTCAAGTCCAGGAAATAGATTTTCGAATAATAGGTTTTTAAGGTAAACAAGCATAACATACGTTATTTATTAAAAAAATAAATTTATGATTATGTCAATTTATACTATATTTCCTTATGAGTTGAAAAAAAATAAAAGTGAGCAGATGATAATTTTAACTTTCTTTTTAATGAATGAAGACACATTTTTCTCTTTTTCTCCCCGTTTAGCCTGCAGAATTAGCAGGGCAGATAATCAGATAAAAAATAATATTAAAAGAAAGCCTCAAATTCCAAAAGTCTAATTTACTCTAGTACTCTAAACTAGTACTCTTAACTAGTACTCTAATTTAATAGAAAAAATTTTTTAAACAAGAAACAGATTTGATTAGATTTTGTTAGTAAAATCATTTATAATTTGAAAGAAAACAAAGCTTGTCTGCTGGTGTCTTTTTCAAATGCTATTAATATACAGCTTCATTAATATTCTTAGTTTATTATTCTCTCCAAAGAATGTTTTGTTTTGTCTTTTCAATAACTTTTTTATTGTGTAAATTGAAGTAGAATAAATGTTCGTGTATTGGAAAGGCAGCAAGAAGAAAGAAAAAAGAATTATTTAACATCTTTTTCAAAATATTGAAAACTTAAAAAATGTTTTTCTTTTTTAAAGCAGAAATAAGATTAGTTTATTTCGATTGCATAAAAATAATCTGTGATAAAATAGTAACTGACCTCTAAAATCTGAATGTTTCCTTTTTTCTGCTTCAAAATAAATAGATTCAATTTTTTTTCAGGGACCACAGTTGTTGAAGCAGTTTTCATCTGAAATGGACACTGTATTACTATTTTATTATAAGAATGGTGAAGAATATACTATTGGTATGCATTTTAATACTCTGTATCTTAACATAAAAAATTTTTTTTGGTTAATTTATTTAAATATTAATCTTGGACTTAGTAGACCATTTTAAAAGGTGTACAGCAATTGTTGACTGAAAAAGAAATTTAGACAATGTAATGATAAAAAAAAAAGAAAATTCTGAAATGTAACTGGTCTCAGCATCAAAAATCATCTAAAAGCATCAAAAATTGATGCTTTTATTCCTAAATTTTTAATTATTGTTATAAAAATGTCTGTCAAAATCTAGAATAACCAAACCTGCATAATCAATGTGTATATTATGTAATCTATAATAATAAAAGGAAGAAATTTTCTTATGTGCCTGTTGCAGTGGTCGGAAGTAGGCAACTACTGTAGTTGCTATTTTTTATTGTAGTTTGTTGTGTAGTGCACTACTTTTTAAAAAGAGTAGTGTAGTAATTTATGCGTTACAAAAAATATTTTGTAGCGATCCCTAACAACTACTTTTCACATTAGCTTAGATAAGAAACAATATTCAGACACTTAGAATCTTTTTAATCTGATTGGTGCAAATCTTAGTGGGTCTGCCAATGAACACGATTAGAAAGCCTCTGTGGTCAATCATCAATAAGAACTACATATGAAGCTCAAGAGCAACAGGTTTTTATTTTATTTATTATTTATATATATATATATATAAAGGTTGGTAGCAGTTGTATTGTTTCTTTCATTGTTTTGTAGAGGTTTGTAATAAAACTCACATGTAATTTGATTTCTCTACTATAATTGTTTCTGTTTTCATAAATACAGAAGAGGGCAGCTACTTTAAAAGTTAATGTTGATAGTACTGAACTGTTTTAGTTAGCGTAGAATTTTATTTTTATGTAATTCAGAAATATGAAAACTGGAATTTTTTAGTAAGCTTTGCCCGAACAAAAAGCTGTCGGTTTCAAAGTCGCCTGTCTCTATTTTGAATTGCTGTACCTTCAAATGCAAATATAAAACAATAAAGGAAACTTGCATATCAATCCAATGAGCATTTTTTGTTCTGTAATTTTTGATGTAGTTAATTTCTTACCGAAAATAAAAATAAAAAACATGAAATACTTAACAAAATTGCAAATATTTGATGAAATATGTTAATAATCTTATGTTTCAATAAGCCTATATGTTATTCAAAGCCATTTTGAACATAGATGTAAATTAAGTTCTCCAGCAAAGTTTGTTTCCTAAAAATAGTGAAATATTAACTACATTTCAAAAGAAGTTTGTAGTCACTATGTACAAGAAATAGTAGTTAAGTACATTAGTGATAAATTAGTTATAAATAACTATAAAAACTTATTTTTTCCGGCCACTGGCGTGTTTTTTTAATAAGTGCAGAACCGTCTGCACTTGAAATTTAGACAGCGAATGCAAGTGGCAATTTTTTCCCCTGATCCTGAAATATGCTTCAAAGTTTGAATTAGTTGGTAAGGACTTATGAAAATAATTTTTTTTTCATAGATTTAATATTAGACACTGCTAACTTCATAAACTTCAGACATCTCTGTTTTTTTAAATGTTTAAAAGTCTTATTTGCTAGCTCACAGCTATTTTAAAAAGAAGTTTATTGCACATCTATATTATATAAAACGCTAATACGTACGTATGTATGTATTAATAAAACTGATGATATTTCTTTTCTCGCGCTGGCAACAGTTTTCATTTTTAATTGATTGCATCCGTCGGAATAACCAGTCATCAGAAGGAGCAATGTCCAGCCAAATACAGCGGGTGTGGTAAAATATCTTTTCCAAATAATTTTTACGACTTTTGCGACATCAGGCTGACCGTTATTAGGCAGAAGAATAACTTTGTCGTGTCTTTGCTCGTATTCCAGCCGTTTTTCTCGTGATGCACAGCTCAAGCGAATCAATTATATCCTATACCGACCGCCCGTAATGGAATCACCAGGTTGTAGCAGCTCATAGTATACACAATTCTTTACAATTCACATACTATTCACAATTCTTCATTCACCACTCTTGAAACGTCGAAACCATTCCCTACATGATTTATCAGTTGGAGCATTGTCACCATAAACTTCTATAAGCATTCGATGCGCTTTAGCTGCACTTTTCTTCCAACTAAAGCAGAAACATAAAACTCCCGCAAATGGTTACCACAAAACTTGACATACNAAAATACTATGTCTTTGATGATAATATATTATGTCTTTGTGCTAGAACATTGTGTTCATTGGCGAGCGAGCGCAGCGAGCCATGGTTCACGGTGTGAACCACATAGGATTGCGTAGCAATTCTCGGGGGTTGGCGAGCGTTAGCGAGCAGGGGGCGGAGCCTCCTAGTTCTTTAATATTTAACTATTTTTATTCGCTGTGTCTGGTAAACTCCATGATTTTGATGTTCATGGTTTTTCTCAATTAAAAGCTTTTGACTCAGTGATGAGAGCTTTTTGATTTGTTAGATAAAATACAAAATTTCAATTTTTATTTTTTAATATAATTAAATATAGGGCAATGATCATTGTTGACATATTTAAAATATAAGAGCTAATTTGACTTGTTTGTCACCTATGCCCTTAGTTGGTAACTTTCCATTAGTTAGTTTATGGCATTTAAATATTTCTTTTATAGAAATTCGTTTCTATACGGAGGTCACATATAAATTCTTTTCGCGAAGATTCTATATATTTTGTATTTAAGATATTGTTTCAAGTGTACCTTGTATGTGTGACTGCGTGCATATGTATTTTCAACATAATTTTTTCTCTTCCTAGAAAGTTCAACTGGTGTAAAAATATCGATACCTCTGATCCTAACCGATGGCAAATCTAAAGAGATGCTAAAAGGGGATTGTATCTACTTCATGAAAACAGATTTAGATAAGGTAAGTCTATTTTTTTCTATTTTCTCAAAGCAAGGAGTATTAACTGATTTTGTCTATGAACTTACTAAAGGATGAAATGAAGGATACCTATAATGTGAATTTACTCACCTGTTATTAGTTTTTTGGGAAAGAAGGACTATATTTAAACATATATTCTTGCTATGTTTGGCTAGATTTGTGTGTATGCAGGGGCCAAGAAAGAATTCGTGGTGACGCCTCCTTTCTACCATTTTAAAATTATATGTAATGAACTTATAATGACTTAAGATTTTTAAAGGCCTCTTTAAAGCAAAGAAATAAGAAAAAAAGCTAAATGAGTTTTATTAAATAACTGCAACTCTTAGTTTAATTTGTGCTTATTAACCATCACTGTGCTTATTAACCATTTGTTTTCATTACATTTGCATTAAAATAGTACATTGTAAAATGTAATGTGACAGGGTTTATAAATTGTAAAGGAAAGCTTTAGAAAATCATGAACATTTTTATCAATGCGTAATGAGAAAAATTAAACATATTATTTGAAAACAGCAAAAATATCTGAAATTTTTGTTAAATTTAAATAACAGAAAATAGTGCTGAATTGCTTTGCATGAATTAAGTCGTTGATCAAAGAGGAAAATTTTGATGGTTGTGGAGAAGTAAGAAGTGGAAATTAGATGTTGGCATTTTGCTAAAAGGAAATTCATGAGATTTCATCAATTTTTATTAACAACTAAGGATTTATTTCTAAAGAGAAAATTAACAAAAAAGGTTATTAAAAAGTGATATTTTTATTACATTAAAATACTTATATTTTTAAAACTTTGAATTAGAAGTGGAAATATGCTTTGTTTTAATAAAAGCTGATATCCTCTAGCAGGGTTCGTGCGGTCCTAAAATGTCCTAAAAAAGTGCTAAAATTTTTCCCCAACTTTTTTAGGGCCTAAAAAGTGCTAAATTTTCTTCTGAGTGCTAAAAAAGTGCTAAATATTTTTTATTTCGGCGTTTAGAAAATTTTTTTGAGCGATTGGTTTCGCGCCATTTTCGGATTGTTGCTAATCCCGTAGAGGATGCGACGTTGCATTGAGTTCTTGTAGAAGGGGTTGAGAAACCGGGTAAAAGCTGCATGGGGTNGTCCTCTTTGCGCCCTCGTATTAGGTCTTGTGGGTGTATTAAAAGGATAAACTTGATTTCAATTTGGAAGTTATGTAGATATGGATTTCACTTTTTTTTGTGTTATTTTTAATCAAATGCTTTTATCAATGACCTTAATTGTGATTTACTTCTATGAAAGATTTATTTCTTAATATTATTTCCATGTATTTGTATTATATTTCTGTGGTATAATTTTTTGAAAAGAAAAATAAATTTGATGCTTTGCAAAGCTTAACATTTCAAGTATTTTGGCATTTTGTCAGTATTGTGTAATTTGTCTTTCAGACAAATAATATAATTTATTATTTGTATAAAATAATATTTAATAATAATAATTTGTATTAAAATAATATTCTTTATTTTTGGAGAAAATGATTTTTTGTTGTTGAAATGCTGGAACTATAAAATCCTATAAACTATATAATAGAGAATCCTATAAATTATACCGTGGAAAATCCAATAAATTATACAATATTATATTTGGTACCCTATGATCAGTATTGTTTGCATCGTATAATTTGAATATATTTTAATTCAAATGAAATCTGGTCTAGCTTATTATTGTGCATTGTCTATTAAGTTTAGTATACTACATTGAATAATATAATTAAAGAACAGTATAGTATATTTATGTTAAAAGCAATAGCATATTTCCTTATATTTCAGCTACCACTCTGTTAAAATTTTTCTGGGAAAGAAAACAAATAATATTTGCTGTATTTTATAATAAATTCTCTATTAAGAATTATATATATATATTTAATATAACGTGATACCATTAGCCAGTGCCTGAATTATCAAAAGGCCTGGGAGGCCCTGGCCTAGGGTATTCAAATGTAATTTTTATATTTATATAAAGCTTAATTTATTCTTGCTGAATTAGGACATGATGTTTGGTCGTTTTAATGCCGATTGCATGAGTGACAGTGCCATGACATCAGCAGTTGTTGCACCCCTGAGGAATGTGTTTTTTCCAGCATTTCAAATTGGAAATGACTGGAAGAAAAATGAACTTGATGAGACGAAGAACAAATCCCTGTGCATGGAAGCCTTCAATAATTTTGTAACCTTTATTGAAGGTAAGTTAAAATTTGTTTTGAATATTATTTTTAATGTTTAAGGTGTAACATAGTTGTAAATTTAAAATTGGGATTTGTTTGCTATTATGGGGATATAATTTTTTTCAATGTGTCCACATTATCAAGAAAGAAAAAAAAATTATTGCAGCTTAATTATTAGTAAATTACAGTTTTTATTTTATATTATCCATAGTTATAAAAATACTTCTTATTCTCTACACATTAAATATTTTGAGTACTACACAATACTCTATATAATGGTTATTTTCTCAGTTCGTTAATTTTTTTGCCCTTAAGCAATATTTCTCGTTAAAGTATATATTTTCAATCTTTAATGATATGCTTAAAAAACTCACAGGAAGTTAAAAAAGAAAACATGCACTAGACTCAATTTGTATTTAAATTACAATTAAAAAAATTTTTTTTAGGTAAACTGATATTACTGTTCCTTGTTTTCAACACACAATTCTGAAGTTTATAACTAATTTACTATATTATGAAAGTGTTAGAGATAAATGCCTTCATATTCTGATAAAGGATGGCTGTC